GGCATACGCCCTAGACACCCTTAAAGTCAGAAAAGTATTGAAAGGTCTAATCAGGATGTTATGAACACGGATGACTGATAACAAAGCTAAAGAGTGGAACATTGGATTTAATTTTGTTTAATTCCAAAAAATAATTCATTTAGTTTATTAAGCTTTATTTACTAATTACATCAATTTACCATTTGATCTGTTGAAGAAATTAACAACTAAAAAAGATTTCGTACGTACATCTTAGATAAAGGAAATTGAAAAACGCTCAATTGCCTGCAGCATTTGTAAAGTTGAAGTGAGATTTTTATTATTCGGGATTGCTGAAAATAATAAAATTATTTGCCAATTATATGCGATTTAAATGAGAAAATATAAATTCAACGTGAACGTAGACACGAGTCAATTTATAGCTACATAAAAATGATCAAGTTAAAGGTTAGAATACGGTAAATATGTTTTTTTAGATGTTAATTTAAAATTATTTTTAATTAGGAAACATAAAAAAAAAAAAAGCAGACGATTTTGAAATTAATCAATTCGTTGTATTCGGAGTATCGAAGTTAGCAGGGGACCTATAAATCCGTCAAACATAATTTGTGTAATCATGAAACAAAAACAAAAAGGATTGCATAAGCTTGGAACAAAACATATGGTTTACTTAAAGGATGGTTTAGTAGAAAATGTTTGAAAAAAATCAATAATTCAATTTGTCATTAATAATTAAGTTGATAAAAACATTGAATTTTCAGTGTTAGAAATTATTAAAAAAATTTCTGGAAGGTGAAGATTTTTGTCTTGTTCGTGTAATGCAAAAGTCCTTGCCAATCAATTTAGAGTGCATGTTTCAAAAATTATATGCTATGTAAATGTAATAGTTTATGTCATAATCAATTGTCGTGAAAAAAAATACAATTAGGATATTATTTCATAATTATACTTCATAGGTAACACTACCAATTATAAAATATAATATACAATAACTATACTTGTGTATTATAATAATATTATATTATATTTTTTTATCAAAAATAAATTAAAATATAATATATGTAATATACTATGTATGGTGTATGAAAAATATAATAAAATAATTACACAAAGTACACAATATAGGTATTGTCCATTTCATGAAATGGATGTCCATATTATAATATATTAAATATATTATAATATATTTTCGTCAAAATTCACAATCTGGACGAATTTAACTATCTGGATAACTAGTTCATGAAATGAGTAGTTTCACTATGTGGATGCGACATATACATATATATGTATATACATACATACTACCCCGGACGAATATATTCCTTTCGTATTGTCATGGAGTACAGCCTTATATAACTATGTTTGATTATTTTACAAATATTAATCCGTTGGCTCGCTACACGCACCGAAGTATACACCGTGTATACGCGGCTACTATATGTCAACGGTAAAGTAAAATGTATAATATTTACATTTCATTTTTATGTGTCTTATCTAATTTATTATTAAAATCATCATTGATTGCCATGATTTCCTTGTTTGGTTTAAATCTATCACTTTTATTACCACCTAACATATAATATTATATATAAAATGTACACAGTACACAAGAAAACCTTCAGCCGGTGACGGATCACTTATCAAATTTGATGATGTGCGAAACCGACCAATTGAAATGTTTTAATTTGTTAATGGTTTTAATAATTATATCAACGCACAACGTTATTTAATAATAGATTCCAGTTCTACAATCAAAGTACATTTTGTTTTATTTGCTAATCACTGTAAAATGCCTATTAGGAGAAAGAAAACATATTAGTACAACGATTTATGAGATTGAAAATATGAGTAAATGCTATATGAAAAAAAAAAATTGGCATGAAAATCGATTTAATTGGTTAACAACTCATTAAATGCGTAATTTGATTGAAAATGTATTATTCTACAGGTGAGGCTAAAAAGTACAGACTATATGATATCATACATGTATATACTAAATATAAAAAGTGTTGTACATTTTATAATAGAGCCTGTAACTGTAGTTGGTACACGATGATAATATGAAATACATTTAAGGATTCAGATGTAAACAATTGTATACGATCTGTTTGTAACGGAATGTCGAAAGATTTTTTTTTAAATAATAAAAATTATAGTTCAGTCTTCATTGTTATAGTGACCTGAATGGTCTATTACAACGGTATTAACCTTTTGTAGACCACGGAAACCTGATCAAAGATTTTTAGAAATTACGGATCCTCTTACCAATATTTTTTCGAATACCTTTCTTTTACAACAAGTCGCGTATTAACGTATGTTATGTGTTAGGGGCTGCCGCGGACCTCCGACACGAGTATCACTACGGACTCCCAGAGAGCCGCGGACTACAGGTTAAGAATCGCTGGACTGTTAGAATACGGTGTAGGTATATAGTACATGACTATTCGAATGAATAAATTCCCATTTTTATGATAGTAGGTATTCATCTGACATCTTCTGTAGAAGGTTATCTTGATTAGTTTATACAAATCCACCAGAGAAGTAGATTCATAGTTTGGAAGTTTAAAAATCTCCTATAGTAAATGTTAAAAACAGGATTTGACAACAGATATTATTTAGCGGAACGACTAAATATTTAAAATTTTTTTATGGAGAAGGCGCTGAGGTCTTGTTTATTATAAAAATTCCCTTAGAAATGTGTAATATTTATATATATTATATACATATAGCATATCCATTATTGTCAATAATAAATGTTTTGGTTGCCAATAATTTACTCCGTCTTATTATTTTAATATTGTTATTTTTTAAACTTAAGTGTATTCATAAAGACAATTTAATTAAATACCAAAACGTAATGAATTCTACTTACGCAATAATATTTAAATTAAATAACAATTATTTTTATAGGAATTCAGTTATTTATTGCTACGTGTTTCCCTTCATAGAATAGCATATTTTATCGTTGTATGATATTTAGTTGAAGAGTTCCAAAATTTTATACAAGAAAAAATATAATGGAGGACAAGGACAAAAATTTCCAGTTAAAATGAAATCTATTTTATATATATTTTTAATCTGAATTTATTTTAATGTATGAGGTTAGTAAAAAATAATGACGCAAAATGAAATAAGATATTTTTAAAGATTGTCAATAGGTTATCGACTACTAAATATTCAAGGTTGACGTAAATTTAATTGTATCAAGGGTATTATTGACAATTGTGTTTATTTAATGTATACTACAAGTCTCTAAATTACTTAGAAATTTGTTTCTATGTATTTTTATATAATGGTATAATTTTGATGTGCATTAAATTATATGTTTAAAACATTGGAGACGTTTGAGTATATAATATATACATGATAAATTAATTTTTTATCATACTTATGTTTCTTTACTAGATTTGGTACCTAAATTTTTTATACTAACATTGGAATTAATTAAAATTAATGATAATGATAATAATTAAAATTAATCGTTGATTTTTTTGATGAACATACTTATTTGAAATTTGACACAAAGATCGGTCTTATAAAATCTAAAAATTACAATTTTCTTGTAATTATTACCGCCTAGGTAATAAAAAAAATAAAAAACCTTATCTTTCTATGAGTTTTTAACACATGGAACAATAATAATAATTTTCTATGGCAACCAAAAAATAAACTAATAATAAGTGCAGAAAAGACTTCGTTAATCCATTTGGACTTGGAAATATAATCAACCAATTAAATTTAGATCAGTAAAGAGTTTTCTATGGTCACATAAAAAAATAGTGACAATTCTGACATATTGAGACATTTCGTTAATGATACAGAAAGGATTAGAAAAGTTTTCTTGTATATATCATTAACATTAAATATTGGGTCATAATATCCTTGAAAAATTGTTAGCTGTTGCAGCTCCAGCTGGAATTTTTGTAATATATGTTAACGATCTTATTATTCATCGTCTTTTATAATGTATTGTCTTTAATTTATAGCAATAAACTGTCATAAAACAGTTGTTTGACCAGGTTAGGACCTGGGTTAATTATTATATTACGATGAATAAACAACATACTTGTGTAATTAATTTATATCAGGATATACCGTATGTTAGAGTTTATCAATACTTTCAAGTAAAAACACAACTACCATAATAAATAAGTAGTCCAAAATTAAAACTATTTACCTAATTTAAGTATAGTAGATATTCGTATAGTTTGAATTACCAGATTTTCAGAAATTTGATATTTTTTTGCCAACTTAATGACGTAAATACCTACGTATTAATATATTATTTATATAATAACCATGACATTTTTTTTTAAATTACAGGGATTTAATTCGAACCTTTATCTACACCACTGCCCACTGTTATTTTTATTCATGAAATGTTGGCTTTTTGCATGATTTACGATAAAAAGATCATACGCGTGATGTGTGAAAATTTGAGTTTTTTAATCATCTAGATATTGAGAGATTGAATCGATTAATTTAAGAACTATCATATACTGCATAATTTCAAAATTTTACGTCGACAATTTGAAATCGATTTTATTGTAATTATGTCGTCTAACGAAGTACAGCGAATCTGCAGGTTTGTGTTTAGCGCAATGTACGAATTTCATTACGCATGTAGTCTTATCTACACGTTTGTACTTACGAGTATGTGTAACATAATTTGTCGTACGGAAAAAAATATTTGCCATTTGTGTACTTGTTGCAGCGTGTAATAATAATGAACAATAATGTATAATATAACCTAACTTAATTATATGTGTAGTAAAAATACGCTTATAATTTATAAATGTCATAATAGTTATAAGCATTTAGTATTGTTGATTGATTGTGTGTATAGGTACGCCGTTGAGTATTTAAATTCTAAAGAATATCACGCTACGCATGTCATTATTAATTACCTATTATATTAATATGCATTGTTTACATCTATGTACCTATATATTACATATGTAATGAAATGTATTCGTAATTCATTCAATTAAATAACATTTGTTCGATTTGTGCGTTTTCAGTTGTATGCTCAGAAATCAAGAAGGATATCGACCCGAATTTCGGTAAGTCTTTTTCGTATTTATTAGTTTTTATTTTTCACAAAGGTGAAAATAGTGAAATATATATGTACCTATTGCGGATGAACTAAGTGGAGTGTTTGTGGACGTCATGATTCGATCACTTTATCTTATTATTATTATTATTATATAATTGACTATGTAAATAGTAAATATATACACGTGTACTTGCGTTTACACGAACAACATAGGTACTTAAGTAGTCGAGTATAATATACCTATACGCGTGGCTAAACAATTGACTTGAAAAAAAATATTTATTCTACTTAATGTAACTGTGTTTAATAATGCAGAGTCGCATTAAATGTTTTATTAAAATACGTTTAATTATATAAATCTGAATTTTTAAGCTCATAAGTATTTTCATATTATTTTGAAATAAAAATAAAGCTATTAAAATCATGATAATAAATTAATAATATTATTGTTTGTATTAAATTAAGTTGGTTATTAGTAGAGCACAGATTTTTATACACAAAAAATTAGTATCAAAATACACCATACATAATATAATATAATAAACAACAAATATGCAGGCAATTTTTTTTATTTATTGAAAATTCATAAATTAAACAACTTATATAAATGTTAATTACTTAAATACTTAATGAAAAATGTTTGCTTTAATATACAATACATTTAAAATTTTGTAGAAGTATGTAAAAATAGCAATAACCATTAAATATGTAGATTTATATTTTGAAATGTGTAAAAAAAAAAAATTACCACTAGAATAAAATTATTATGATTCGTGAAGATAATTAATAAAAATCCAAAAAAGTGAAAAGGAAAAAATATGCAATTGCATAAAAATCTATGCTCTAGTTATTAGTGTTAAGTTTCAAAAATGTTTGTACAATTTTTTTTCAGTATAAGTAATTTTTCAATCTGATTTACTTAACGGATATTATAACAAAGTGTTGATTTTTGTATTACACTGGAATAATCAATAGTGCTAAACATAATCTGTATATGCTTATGATATGAATGGATGGATTTGTCAACAATAGATCAAATAGTCAATTGTTTAATGAATATATAAGTACATGGAATTAGATAATTTCAATGTATAAAATGTCTATGATTTAAGTATTCGTATTTTACGTATAATATGTTTTCACACCATGAATTTTGATCATTAATTATTTTAACAGATTTTTTTTTTTTTGATTGATGATCGTGATTTAAATCTGATATATAGACCTACAAACATAAATCCCTAGTCTTTATGCATATAATTCAACACGTCATGCAGTATACAAGATAAAAATTCTACATTTATGAAAAATAGTTAAGTCTTATCGTTGAAGTATTGAATTACGTAGAACATCTGTACGACATATACATGATTTATTGTATCTATATTTAGCACTATTTTTTTTTCAGTTGTTAAATAGTTAAATCACTAATAAAATCAAGTAAAATACACACGTTGTAATTGCAGTATTAAATACATATTTTGTGATTCATTAGAAATATAAAACAATATAAGTCATTTTGGAATTTAGAAATTGTAATACTCTGCAGTTGTTATTTTAATATTTACATAAAATATTATTTATTTTTATTTTATAAAATTTGAAATGTTTTATTAAAAATGATTCGTTTATAGGTACTTATGTACTATGTAACTCATTTAAGTAAATAATACAGTTTTCTTTATAATATTATAAATTACGTTATTAGTTTGTACGCCCATAGTGCAGACTAAAAACATACATTCACGTTAATAGTATGTGCAAATAAACGGCGTAAAGTTTTTTTAGTTTAATATTATTTATTAAGGGGATTGCAAATAGGCAATTTTTAAGAAGTTAAATGTAGGCATATCATATTTGTTTATGCTTTTTTTTCAATTCTTCTGATGGACTAATGATATGATTTTTGAAAACTGCTTTGAATTCTTTAGTATGTTTTCTATAGATTGCTTAGGTCACATTTTACGATTTTAGATTTTAATATCGAATAATCAATATTTAAAGTTTGTGAAATTTTAAATACTCGAATTTATACGAAATTAAATCAAATTTATAGGAGTTGGGGAATGAAGTTTGATAAAGTGGCTTTGATCGATCTTAATTAGATATAATGTACATTTTAAACCAGTTTTTAAATAAGTATAATCGAATGACTTGATCCATTGGTATGATTGATAAATGATTGGTGCATTTTGATCGAGATAACTGACTATTAGCAATCCCTTTAATGTTTATTGTTAATATTATTATTAATATTATTCATTAAAAATTTTCAATTTTTAACTATTGCTGCTATGTAAATATAACAAATTAAATTGTTTTTTTATGATTTAATATGTTAATATTCATATTCATTTGAGTTATATTAAATAAGTTGATTTATAGGTAAAAATCATTCTCATAATATTTTTTATCATTTTGTACCCATTATCTATTTTATGTACATTATATTTAAATAAATACATTTTTTTTAAGTATCATAAAATAAAAAATTAGGTTCAAAATATAAATTAATAATATTTTAAAATATATTAAAAATGTCACTGCCCATAGCAAAATTTACAATAATATCATACATGTAAAAGTTTTAGTTCCCAGGAATAATATTTTTAAATTATAACAAAATAACTCACATTATTATTTATCTTTAAATACCTAAAAAATTTCATTCAAATTTAAACTTAAAATGTTTACAAAAAATTGTTTTTATATATTTATTAGATTTTATGGTTTAAGTATAGACTACTTTTAAGGAATCTCATATTATAATTTTAAAACTTAGATACAAAAATAAAAGTTTTTATGAATTTCTAAATACAAAATAGTAATTTAGGGGTAGATTTTCGGAGAATCGTTTTGTTTATTATTAGAAATCATTGAATACTAAGCTCATTGTTTTTCGTAATTTTATTCGAAAATCTTAAACATTTTTTTTTTTTTTTTGAAATTGTTAAGTCGCAATCTATGTTTGATATCAATCGAATTTTTCCTAAACCGCTTTTACAATTTTAGAACAAAAATACATTATAAAGTATTTCCGCAGCGAAAATTATTTATTGTTTTTCTTTGACCCACTCATAATTAATACTATTTAAATTATTCCTTTCCATCGATTACTGTTGGGTGTATTAAATTACACATTCGGACTTAAGAACGTTTAAAAGCACAAATTCGTTTTTTTGTCCTGTAGACATCTTTTTTATTTTTTGTTCGTAATTGATTAATGGTTGTTTGTATTTTAAATGGTCTGGCAAACTGGACGAGTATAATGGAAAAAAGCGATATCCTATTTGTAGGTCTAGGTGAATTGTATAAAATCTCTTATACATGCTCGTTTGACAGTTTCCTATCCCAGCCCATTTAATATTTAAATATTATTATTATTATCATATCATGAGCATTAGCTCAACTAAACTTACAATTTAGGGAGTGTTAAATTTATTAATGACCGTCAAATATAATTAACTAATACCTTCCTAATTCAAGTGCAATCGTTAAGTAAATTTTAGATTCATAAATTGTAGTTGGAATATAATTTTTTCGGTAGATGTCATTTTATGGTAGGTGTACTAGTGCGTGAAGATATATATTTGAACCATTGTTGTAGGTAACATATTTGTTCTTAATTTTTGATTCGTCAAATGCATGAAGACTTGCAATCGCATGTTTCAAAATTTACTGAAATTATTATAGCTATTTGAAGTAATTTAAATTTTAAATACGTTAAAGCAAGTCTATATTAAAAAAAAAACCCGACGAAGTATCTTCAATGGGAGATCTTTTCACTCCATCATTTCAATGACTATTTAATAGATATATATATATATATATATATATATATATGTTATAAATTAAGCTTATTGTTCATTTGTTTGTAACATATTGTTAAATAAAAATCGAATAACGTTAGAAAAAAAAATATATATTTATAAATATAAATACTAAAATAACGAATTTGAACAATCAAAAAACATAATAATTTTTAATATTGAATATGTATGTAAAAATCAAAAACAATGATTTGAATTGTTTAGGTTACTAATTTTAAGTTGAGATACTAAAAACCTAACATTTTTCTAGAGGTACATTATACACATTAAAAATTGATAGTTTGGTGCAATTAAATAAAACTATGATAGAATTTTTGGTCTCGTAGTTTATATGCATAGGTTGAAAATTAATATTAATAATATGCTACTTATAGGATATCTCCGATCGGCGATCATCAATAACGTATGTGTTATTTCAATTACCGATTATGGATTATTGATGAGAATTTCAATTACCGATGGTTATGCATTTGAGGTTATAAATAAAAATTCCAATTAATATTTTATATTATTATATGTTTTAATTAAAAAATGTACTTATAGTGTTGACTGCTGATTATTTATTTAAAAATTAAATTAGATTTTTGGTGTTTAGTTAAGAGGATGCCACACCCGCATGTGTTATCTCCGTCTTACATACATACAACATAGCAAATTTTCGTTCAGCAAAATCAATTCTATGTTGTAAGCTTTAAATAATAGAGTAAATTTACCTATTATTAAATTTAAAAGTAAGAATTTCATCTAGGCCAACTTATAGAATTTTATTAATATTATAATTTTAAAGTAAGTTATAAGAATTTTAAAGTCTTAATATTTTAAATAGCTATTATTCAGCTTAAAATTAAAATATCAATAAAAGTTTATGATGTGTGTTGGATAAAATTCTTACCTTTAAGTTTGATAATAGATAAATTTACTCTAATATTAAAACTAATGACATAAAATGGATTCTGCTAGACGATAATTTGCTAAGTTGTATGTAGGTAAGATGGAGATAACACATGTGGGCGTGGCGTCCTATTTTAAGTTGATAATAGTCAATAAAAGCTGTTGAGATTAAAAATTAGTCGAGATAATCAATAAAGTACATTACATTATGTGAATGAGTTTTAAGTTAAAATATTAAAAAAAAAAAAATTCTTAGTCGTTGAATCATAGAATAAAAAAAAATATA